AGGAGGAGGAGGAGGAGGAGGAGCCCAGGAGCCGGCCACGCCCGCCCACCCAGCGAGACACTCGGCAGACCACATGCCGGTGCATAGGGGCCCCCACGAGGCGCCCACCACAGCCCGCCGGGCGAGACCTCGGTAGGCACATCAGTCGACCTGAAAACAGCACTGGAAACCTCGACATGGGCACCAACACCAAAACACTGTCTTGCTGTGCTTTGATATGTGTTGTTCTGTGTTGCGATTATTTCATGAGTAGGTTCGCGGGATTCGCGCGCAACAGAAATTCCGTTGATGGAGCCTGCTGTCTGAGGCCCGGAGACTACAGCAACACAAGGGGGGTGCGCCCCACCGATTCGGTGTTGGTGGCACTATCTCGGCCGCCTAGGAAGCCACAGTATTACCACCATCGCCGAGATCGGGATCATCTCGCCTCGGTCGAGGCACGCCGCCGATTTTGGTGCTGGTGTCAGCCTGTGGGCCTGCCAAAGCAAGTGGGAAACCCCTAAGTGCTATTGGAGGCGGCTGGGGGGTCGGAACTGGATGGGGCGACGAATCGGTCAGGAAAGGGGACGAGGCCAAATCCGCCAAAATCGGTCAACGGACCTTTTCAGGGGCCCATCGCGTGCAGTTTGTCATCCCAGATCCGTTTTTGACGGTCCAAAAACGTCCCCCCAGAAGCCGAAAGAGGCAACAAGCAGATTCCTGAACCCGGAAACTCGAATCTGTTTGCCCTCCCTTCTGGCCAGAACCAATGCCGGGCAACCTCAGACCCCCACGCGACTCGAACTCTCGGAGGTCCGCGTGGATTTGCTGGGTGTCGCAGGACCCTGGTCCCGCAAGCCCCCCCCCGCGCAGAGCGCACGTGGAGCGGCGCCGAAACACTGACAGGGGGGGCGGGGAGGGTGTACAGAGGCCGGTTCAAAAAAATCCGCGCGAAGATCAGGAATGACATCAGAGCAGCTGACAACTGCAAATGCATAGACTTTTGGAGCTGCGCTGGACCACGTGGCGGCGCGGCGCCTCCTGGCTCCGCGCGCCAGGGGGGCCAGCGCACATCCAAAAAATCCGCGCGGACTGTCAAATGTGTGTTCATGCATTATTTCATCGAGTTATGCGATCCTCCATCCCCCCATCGTTCTCGTGTTCACTATCCAAAAACACCAAACAATATCGTATCCGTCGCACCCCGCATATGCGGATAAGACGGAGGGGGCGGTGGGGACGTCGGCAGTCTGCGGGACTCCGGAAAAACCCGCCGCACGCGCAAAAACTTCACACATTATACAACGAACCCGCCGCAGGCGCCGAATTTTTCATCAAACTGATGTGGATCGGTCGCGGGTGCGTCACGGGTTGGACGCGGGTGGGTTGCGGGCGGATCGCGGGTGGGTCGCGGGTGGGTCGCGGGGTGGGTCGCGGGTGGGTCGCGGGTGGGTCGCGGGGTGGGTCGCGGGTCGGTCGCGGGTCGGGTCGCGGGTGGGTCGCGGGGTGGGTCGCGGGGTGGGTCGCGGGGTGGGTCGCGGGGTGGGTCGCGGGGTGGGTCGCGGGGTGGGTCGCGGGGCGGGGCGCGGGGGGGGCGACGACAACAAACAACAACACCAGCAACAACAACGATCATGTTAAGACTGTTCGCTCGTATCTGCTCGCATGTCATTCAATATGCATATCCCAAACCCTGGATGCCCGCCTTCTTTGTCTTCAATCGCACCCCCTCTTGGGGGCATTTTCATTCCCTGCCGCGCGCGGCTCGCGAAGCCCTCGGAAACGAAGGGTCGCAGATAGCGGGGGGGGGCTGAGGGCGAAGGGATCGGAGGAAGGGAGGGGAGGGGCAAGAAGGACGGGGGCCGATGATTTGCACTGCGGGTGGCGACTCATCTAGCGCCATGGCTTGCGCCAGCCACTCCAACACAAGTTAACAATAAGTTTCGCCATGGGTCGCGCCAGCAACAGCGCCACGCACCACCCCTTTGAAACAACATATCGTGGATACCCCCAAAGGGGGGGCGCACAGCTGCGAACTGGCGTCAGAAACCAATTTCGTGGAACCCTGAAAAGAAGCGGGACATTGGGAGAGCGGCGCGGGAAGGTAGTGAGAACTGCAACCGCGTCGGGAGAAACGCGGGGAGTGGGGTGGATTGGGATGGGGTGGACAAGAGTAGGGTCTCAGGAGGAGGAGCGGCACGGAGTTGAGAAGAGGAACCCGGGGGAGTGCGGAGGAGCGGGGGGCGCACGGAGGAATCTGGAGGAGGGACTGGGAATAATCTGGGAGAAATGCGGAATGCGAGCGGGAAGGGGTGGAGACTGTTGGCGTGGGCTGGGGTGGCCTGGGGAGGAGTGGGCGGAATGCGAAGAACTGAGGAATGGCACAATGGAGTACGAACGAAATAAAAATGAAGATAAAGGAACAGAGTCGAGAAGACTGGGGAGGAACATTGAGAAGTGGGGGCAGGTGGATGCGAGCGGAGACTGGTGCGGAAACAAGGCGCGGGGGGATTGGAAGGCA